TTTTGTACATTTGCATACATTTTGTTGAACCTTCTTTTTTTTTTAATCAGTTTGTTGAAACCTGATCAAAATGTCAGTCTTGTAAAAAAGTAACAAAACACTGAAGGTGGTTATAAAATACCCCAGAGCATAAATACCACAAAGATGATCCGAGAGCGTGAGCAGGGAAATACGGCAAACCCATGTGAACAGACAGCGCTGCTTTTGTTTTTGCTCATATTTGGCGTCGAGCTCCTCCTTTGTGTTTCTTTGTTGGCTGCGGTATACAACCGCATCCAGAAGTCTCCATACGAGTGGTTGATGGAGGTGTAATGACAACGACAATTACAGCAATTATGTGTTATTGTCGGCCATTATGTATTTTGTAGGCTTTGAGATGTAGGCCCCTTTTTTATGTAATTGCTGGTTATGAAAGGCATAATAATCACGGGCCAGCCAGCCGAAGGAGCTACCAAGGGCAACCAGAACCTGGTGCCATGGTAACACAACATTTATCCATAATGCTGCTCAGTGGATGGTGAGGACAAGAGCATTGGCAGCAGGCAAATTAGCTGTAATGGTGGGGAGTGGAGGATGGAAGCTGCTGACCAGCAGACTGAGCATGAGCTGGTGGGGGCTGCTGGGGGTGGGGGTGGGGGGGTCCTGATTGGGAAGAGTGTGTTCGTTACAAGCAGTGTGTAGAAATTATTGCATGTGTAAATGTGACGGCAAATCTGTGACTTCATGGTGAATTATGGGTCATGTTACATAAGAACTGCTGCCAAATAATTAAAATAAATAAATAAAAATGTGTGTGTGAAGTTTTATAATTTATGTAAATATTTTGCAAGTTATGCCATATTGGTTTAGATAATTTCAATCAAATCTAACAAATTTACTGCAGTTAGCCACCTGCTAGTTAGCAATGGCTTCTAATCATGAAGAAACATTTCGTTAGGAATTAGTTCTTTATTTTTGCCTGTGTGTGTTCATTCATTTGTCTGTACTGTTAGCAAAATATTGAAGCGCAAAATGGATTTTATTGACACTTTCAATAAGTAATTTATCGATGTACATGTCTGCCACCGGTTAGAAAACCCTAAAAAAAACAGTTTAGCAAATATTTAGCTAACATTTGGAGTGGGACTAGTTGTTCATTCTCCATATGTTTTGAGCTCAACACATTTTACATTAGCTGTACTTAAAATCTCTAGGAGACAACCTTGTTTATCTATAAACAAAATGTGTCATTATCTATTGGATGGACTTTAATTACACTCCCAGAAAACAACAATGGGTTGTAAATCTAAAATAGAACTCATTTCAAAATGGCTGCCACAACAAATCAACTTTAGCATACACAAAAATGGCTTTATTTTATTCTGTTTTTACATATAATGTTATAATGTCTGGTCTGTCAGTAAGAGCGTCAATCAAAACACACTCCAAGCAATAGATATTGCAATATTGCATCAGATTTACTTTGATCCTTTTAATTTTTACAAACAAAATGGCTACAACTCCATCATTTCTCAGCATAAGATGATCTCAGTCTGGAAAACAGCAGGGGATATGCAACACTTTTTGAAGTGCGCTTCTGAAAAATCTCAGTTCGTGAGGCCAGGCAGCCTCACAGCTTCATCCTCCAGAATCAGGTCATCCTAGCCCAGTAAGCAGGGATCGAGCGAAGTGAAAAAAGGAAGGAGTGAAATTGGATTGGACCTAAAACTTCTGCTCAACTACATGGGGGAAATAGCAAGAAAAAAATATGCTAAAAAGTCAAATATAGAAATGTGAATCAACACCTTTTCTTGAAGATTAAGCTGCAGCATCATGTTTGCTGCATTGTATGTTAATGAGCTGTGTGTGTGAGGGAGTCAGTGTTTCCACGACCATTGTCCAAGTAGGACGCCCTGCCCTGTCAACACAACTGAGCGCCCTGCCTAACAAAACACGGAGTGTCTGAGGAATGGAGGAAAAGTGTGCTGCGTTTATTTTTGTTTCAGTGCTTGATGAAGAAATTAATGACTCAAACACCGAGTGCACGCTTGGGTGTGCATGTCTCTAATTTATGTGGACATGTGTGTATGTGTGTGTCCATACAGGAGTGGGTGGTGCAGAGAACTGCAAACAGGCCCAGCATGCCACAGAGCAGGAAGTAGGCCAGAGGGGGATTAAATGGCTCTTGCGCCACTTCCTCCATTTCCCTGCAGCCATATGATGCTGTGAAGCACACATGTGTGCGTGGGGGTGTGTATGTGTGTGTGTGTGGAGGGGCAGCACTGTAAGGGGGCTGTGATGAAGAAAGCCAAGCCCTTGAGTTCACAGTGCACTTGACTGGTTCTAGTTAAGTGCAAAGATATGACATCAGCAGCTTCAGGGAATAATATATTCGCCTGCATGTGTGTGTGTTCATGTGTTAACTTACTAAACTGACTCTGATCATTTTCAGGATTGAAGTCAGAATCCAACAAATTTTAAAGTCTGAGTTTATACTCCACTGCTCAATTGTGGTAAATATTTTTTTGACAATAAAATGAAAAAAATATATAATTTTTAGTTTTCATAGCACACAACAGTACGTTGGTGTTGATTCTTACTTGTACAGAAAATGACAATCACGAGTGGTAAAACAGGAGGCAATTTGTTTCTTGAAGATGTTTTACGTCTCATCCAAAATAATTCTTAAGTACTGATTATCGGTTGGTCATATGGATGTTATGCATATAAACATCTGGAACTGGAACTAGGAATTTGAAGCTGGAACACATCCAACCTTCCCTGCAGGCTGGTTTCAATATAAAATGTTTGTCATATATATATATATATATATATATATATATATATATCCTGGGTAAATGGTGAGGGTTGTGTCAGGAAAGGCATCTGGCATAAAACACTTTTGCTAAAACTAATATAAGAGTTCAGGCTGGAAAGGATGTGCAGCAGGTTAGGCTCATTAACGATTAAAATTGTAATGTTCTAACAAGTGAGAGTGTGATGGGAAGATGGAACAAGTATTTTGAGGAGCTAATGAATGAAGAGAATGAAGAGTAGAGGTTATAGAAACTGTGGACCAGGAAGTGGGAAAGATTAGTGAGGGTGAAGTTCAGAAAGCTCTGAAAAGAATGAAGAAGGGGAAGGCAGTAAGACCTGATGACATACCATTGGAGGTTTGGAAATGTCTTGGAAAGATGGCAGTGAGGTTTTTTACTCAAATATTCAATAGTATATATGAGGGTGAGAAAATGCTCAGGAATGGAGAAGAAGTGTGCTGGTGCCCATTTCTAGAACAAGTGTGATGTACAGAGTTGTAGCAACTGCATGAGAATTAAGTTGATGAACCACTTGATGAAGATATGGGAGAGTTGTGGAAGTAAGACTTAGAGAGGCAACTATCTGTGAGCAGCTCTATGGTTTCATGTCATTCACCACTGATGCCATCTTTGCTTTTGAAGATGTTGCTGAAGAAATACAGAGAGGGTCAGAAAGAATGCCATTGTGTCTTGGTGGATTTAGAAAAAGCATATGACAGAGTGCTGAGGGAGGAGGTGTGGTATTGTATGAGGAAATCTGAAGTGGCAGAAAAGTATGTTAGACTGGTACAGGACATGTATGAGGGCAGCAGGACAGTGGTGAGATGTGCTCTAGGAGTGACAGAAAGCATCAAGATGGAGTTGGGAGTGCATCAAGGATCGGCTCTGAGTCCCTTCTTGTTTGCTCTGGTGATGGTCTGACTAACAGATGAGGTCAGGCAAGAATCCCCATGGACTATGATGTTTGCAGATGACATTGTGATCTGTGATGAGAACAGGGAACAGGTGGAAGAGACCTTGGAGAGGTGGAGGTATGCACTTGAAAGAGGAGGAATGAAAGTCAGCCGTAGTAAGACAGTACATGTGTGTGAATGAGAGGGAGGCCGGTGGAGCAGTGAGGCTACAAGGAGCAGAGGTCACAAAGGTGCAGGACTTCAAGTACTTGGGGTCCACTGTCCAGGAAAATGGGGAGTGTGGTAAACGGGTGAAAAAGAGAATCCAGACAGGATGGAGTGGATGGAAAAAAGTTTAAAGAGTGATTTGCAGCAAAAGACTGGCTGCAAATGTCAAAGGAAAAGTTTAAAATAAATTGTGAGACCAGTATGGTGTGGATACAGTGGCAATGACAAAAAGACAGGAGAAAGAACTAGAAGTGGCAGAAATGAAGATGTTGAGTTTCTCCTTAAGAGTGACAAGGATGGATAAGATTAGCAATGAAACCATCAGTGGCACAGCACAGGTTGAACAACTGGGAAATAAAGTTGGAGAGGCCAGACTGCGATGGTTTGGACATGTCCAGAGGAGGGACAATGGGTATACTGGTAGAAGGATGTTAGAAATGCAGCTGCCAGGAAAAAATACCAAGAGGAGATAAATGGAAGCAGTTGGAGAGGACAGAGTGGGATGAAGGAACATGACTCGCTGCATCAACCCCTGAAAAGGGAAAAGCTGAAACACGAAGACATACACACCTCAGTTTTTGTTTTTTTGTCAGGTGATAACTCAGTTCATGTAGTTCTTACCAGGGTGTATCAAGACTTAAAGCTCCACACTGCAAGTGTGCAAATGCTAATTCCAAAAATACAACATGGCAGCTCCCATAATTTGCAGTCTTGCTGGCTTCAAGTCCCAACACAGAGATTGCAGGGACACATGGTCTATAATATACACAGTGTTTTGTTGGGAAATGAAATGACATGTTGGTTTCACGAGGGACAAAACCCCAAACGACACAAAAGATGGAGATGAGGGACTCATGGGACATTAACTGCTCTAGTAATGTGATTATAAAGACTTGAGTTTACTCCCAGATTGGAAACCTTTCATTCTTCGAAACTTTTCAAACACCCAAAAACAAGAAAATAAAATCTAAACTTTTTTTTTTTTTTTAACTCTGACATACACCTGTCCAGTAACACTAAGCAGGTCTTTCACACATTATTCCCGCCACTGCGACATATTTCTCCTCTGTGGTTTTCTTTTTACCTCCTTGAGGCAGCCCATGAAGTTGTTGCTAACAGGAGATCCAGGCAGATCGGCTGTGCTGGGGCTCCCCCCCACATAGAAGAAGTCATCTGAACCCAGCATGGTGTAGTCCTCCTGGGTGTAACCCGTGGTGGTTAGAATCCCGTCCACTGATATTGTCACCTGACAAAAAGATGTGAACACTGAGCATGGAAATACAGATTTATCTTTGATTCCAAACACAAAAACTAAACTATATAATCATTAACAAGCTGCTCGTTAAAACCTTCACAATGTGTTTTATGCACCTAAGGAAAAAAAGATAATTCAAAGGTTTTTGTTTTTTCAGCAGACACTAAGTGAGCATCAAATGTGATTTAAATTTGATTTTCTACTGTGTAATAATTGGAATATTGATTAAATAAAAAAAATGCATGAAGGAAACAAAAATCAACAGTTTATTGTCAAGAGTTGCACACAAATCACATGCAAACATGCAGAACGCAGAATGGAGAAGTGAAGATTTCTACTGCACAGTATCAAGAGGAAAAATGTTGCTCAAAAAACAGAAGCAGCTATAAGAAAAAAAACATTTTTTCTTGTAAAATTGTTATTACTTTCTAAACATTGGAGGTGACCATATTAATCAATTCAAAATTAATGAAATTTTGTGTTTTGCTTTCTTTATATTCCTTAAAAAATATTTTTTGTTACACTGCTGTTAAAATCCTGGTGCTATTCTTGCAAAAAAAACTGATACATTCAGCTGTAATAAACTAAAGATTACTACATCAAACACATTCTTAAAGCAATCAGCTCAAACATCACAAAACTGGTCGTTTTAACATTTAGGAGGTGAAAATATGAGAAAATGACAGACACGGACTTGATTTTTTTAAATGTAAAACTTAAAATTATTCAAACACTTTAAAAAAAAGTTGGAAAACTTTTGAGTGAATTAACTCAACAAAGGAAGGGTTGTCTGGAAAAAGAAAGCAAAGTGAGCAAAGGGAAAGTCTAAATTCATTCCTATACAATTTTGTTTTCCCAGAAAGAATTCAAACTGGAGCGAAGAGAGAAGTAAACAACCAACTGAGGAATGATGATGAGGATGATATCTACCATACAGTGGAGTTTGTTAACCAGGTCAGGTCCAGTGCCTGTTGGCTTTGCAGAAAGGTGGTGTAGACATGAATTAACACACACGGTTAGTGTTAAAAATAAAGAAAATCAAATAAACACTAACAAATAGACAGCAACATATTTACACAAGGAAAAAATGGGGACAAACCAAATGATGAAATACCAAAGTTCATGCTCAATAATCCAGGTTCAAATCCAACAATGTTCAGTCAGGTCATCTGGACGGTTTCTTTTTTCTTTTTAGCTGAGATGTTTTGTCCTTCATCCAAGGGACTTCTTCAGTATGAGGAGCCACAAACAAACTGAAGTCCCACCAGTTTGCTGGTGATAAGATGGTACCAGCTTGAATATCCTGATGCATGCTCAATAATCCAGGTAGAAAAATCTAAAAAAAAGTTAAGTCAGGTCCTCTGGCTGTTCAAAAAACAAAAACAAACAAACAAAAAAAATGTAGAAGCGTTTCATCTTTCATCCAAAAGACAAAACATTTCTACTTTTTTTTGTTTGTTTGTTTGTTTTTTTGAACGTCCAGAGGACCTGACAACTTTTTTAGGTACCATCTTGAACCAGCTTATCACCAGCAAACTGTTTTTTCCCCTCACTATGGGAGTTTGGTATTTGTGGGACTCCAGTTTATTTGTGGCTCCTCGGACTGAAGAAATCCTCTGGATGAAGGACGAAACATCTCAGCAAAAAAAAGAAATAAACTGCCCAGATGACCTGACTGAACAGTGTTGCAAATGATGAAATGCAAAGACAATATGATGACTGGTGCAGACAGAACTTGCCTAACAGACACACAAGTCAAGAAAAAAATAAATAAACACAGGAGACACTTCCCATCTGGGTCCAGTTTGGTTTAACAAAGAAGTTTGGAAACACACTTTATACCCATTTATTTTTACCCTAATTAATCCATTTTTTGAAAAAATAAAAATAAATGAATGTGTATAATCATCAGTGACCATTACAGCAGGCAAATCATTTTAGTGGTTGGTTTAATCACTTTAAATCCTGAAGATTTTGATTTCCAATTAAAAGATAAGTTGTTTCTGCTGACGAGTACAAACTAATCCACAGTCATGGAGATAAAACTGTCGATCAGCAGCAGTGTAGGCTTTGCCTTCTGTAATGTTGGCTGTTTTCTGACATGGAATGTTATTCCAAAGGGTTTGTGCCCTACCTGCCGAAGGTTGCGGGTCACTTTTACATCGTGCCACGTGTTGTCGATGAACGACCCGTCGACGGGCTCCACGATGGCTTCAAAAGCCCCAGACCCCAGGTTGATGACGAGGGAGACGGCTCCGTCCTTCAGCGCCAGGTTGACGTAGTCAGCTGACTTTCCCGTGTGAAGGATGAGGCCGTTCCGCTGCCACGTCTTGAAGGACAGCGTGATCTCGTCGCTGCTGCTCTGAATCGGGTTCTGGGAGAGATCGTAACAGAAGTACTCCGAACCGCGGAAGGTGGCTACATTCTCTTCTCTTGCTGCAAGGAGAGAAAATAAATAAATAAAAAGCGTTAGTCCAAGTTAGATTAAGTCTACTAGAAATTTGAGAAACTGGGTTCAGATCATCATTCGTTTTAAATATTCATAATGGCCACACACTGTTTACTTTTAGCTTGTTGCCTACTTTTAATGCCAAATGTGAGGAAAGCACCACAAATCCTCTTAAACTAAAAATCAAAGTTCATACTCAATAATCCAGGTAAAAAAATCCAACAGATAAGTCAAGTCCTCTGGATGATGTTTATGTGTTTAAAAAATCTGTCCTTCATTCAAAGGACTTCATCAGTCTGAGGAGCCACAACAAACTCAGTCCCACAAGCAGCACACTCACATAGTGGACCAACCAATTTGATGGTGATAAGAGTTTCTGGAGTCCACCCTCTCCCCTGTCGACTCCTCTGAGGCATCCATGGCCAAAGTGGTTCTAAACATCAAACTGGTTGGTCCACTATGTGTATGCTTCTTGTGGGACCGAGTTTGTTGTGGCTACTTGGACTGATGAAGTCCTTTGGATGAAGGATGAAACATTTCAACACAAAGAAACTGTCCAGAGGACTTGACTTAACTTTGTTAAACTAGAAATGCTTTTGTCTTTAGAGTAACTTTGTATTAATAAAAGTTTTTACTGCAATCCAAATGTGTAGAAATGCTTACACTATAAATTTGCATTAAGTGCAGTTCAAACTTTGAAAAATGCTGAAGCCTTGATCCAACAGCTTTTAACAACGAAATCTCTGTAATCATTTCTCTGTGACCTTATCTGTTTCTCACTTGGTTATAGGATGATGCATGACCTGATGGGAACTATGTACTTAAAGAAATCTTTACGGTTTCACACTGTGGAGCAGAACTGATGCATGGCTAAAACGTTATGCTGATGACACTTAACTGTTGGAAAAACACTTCTTCTGATGTTTTATTGTCTCCCGTCACACTTTTTAGTTGCATTCATTCCATTGTCAACTCGTACTAAATCTGAACAAATTAGAAAAAATGCTGTTTCTGAACAAAATTCAATGACCAGCAGTTTTCCCTTTAATTAAATTACAGTAAGACACATTCATCAGTCTTTGACTTTCTATACCTATTTTGTCATCTTCCGTATAAAGCATTTTTTAAAACAAAGAAATATATCCAGGGTTAATAAATATAGCAGATTTTCTTTACTTCATTTTGACATGCTTCGTTTCTTGTTTCCATCTTCAAACCATTTGCTGATATTAATAACCCATAGATAAATTACATACATACATACATCTTCTACTGCTTATCCGTTATAGGGTTGGGGAGGCTTCAGGTCCAGGAGAGAAACCCAGATACCTCTCTCTGCAGTGACACTTTTCAGCTCGTTCTGGGGGCCCCGAGGCCTTCCAGACCAGAGAAGATACACAATCCCTCCAGCAACTTCTGAGACATCCCCGGGGCCTCCTGCCAGTGGGACAAGACTGAAAAACCTCTAAAGGGAGGTGTCCTGGAGGCATCCTAATCAGATGCCCGAACCACCTCAAATGACTCCTTTCGATGTGGAGGAGCAGTGGCTCTACTCCGAGCTCCTGTCGAATGATGAAGCTCCTAACCTCATCTCTATGGCTAAATGTGGTCATCCTGGAAAGGAAGTTCACTTGAGCTGCTTGTAACAAGGTTCTTGTTCTTTCAGTCATGATCCAAACCTCATGACCTAAGTGAGGGTTGGAACATAGACAAGTAAATCGAGAGCTTTGCCTTTCAACTCAGCTCTCTCTTCACCACAACAGACCAAAACAATGCCCTCATTACTGAGGACAAGGCCCCAATCCATCAATCCATCTCCCACTCCATCCTACGATCACTCGTGACCAAGACACATATACTTAAACTCCTTCACCTGAGGCAAACACTGTTGTTCTAGCGAGACTATATTAAATAAAAATAACTAAAACCTTAGTGCTTATCAGGTCTTAATGCATTTTTTATAAGCTTTAGATTAAAAAGTGTGAAAAGAAGTAACAATCCAGTGATAATCTTAGGAAAATTCTGTCTAAAATAAGAAACCAGATGATAAAACCTCCAGAAATACTCAGCATGAGACAGAAAAGGCTGCTGGCGGGAACGCAGAGCTATCGCAGAACAACATCAAAGGCCTAATCTTTCCAGTGAAATTGCCTGTCAAGAGACACTGCAACACAGTGGTCATGTTTGTAAAGTGACAGCAAGGACCAAAGAATGGAAGGAAACTACAGACCGACTGTATTTATGACCTTGATAAAAGGGTAAGGAAAACGCAGGAGAATAAAGGAAACAGGAGCCAACAAAAAATGGTCCACTCAGAAATGATCTGCGATGACATCTTTAATTAACTTGCTGTCTCTTTATCCAAAACTACAGAACTCTGTCCAACCAGAATCTGCACGAGTACAGCTTCCTTGTGTTTTCAAATACAACGGCTTTTATTAACTTGTTTTTAACTTCCCACTATTTTCCGTTTATTCTAACCATTTTCATTTAAACTACACCCAGTGTGAAATGTTGAAAACAGATTAAAGTTTAGTGTTTTTTGCAATTTTGGAAAGCAAATTATGCAGATAAGAGAATAAGATGCACTGAAGAAGACTCAGTAAGACAGGTGAGATTCAACACGGTGTATATAAGAATTTATACATACAATTAGTGGGAAATAATTGTTTCTGCACTTTGGACCATCTCAGATATTCAACCTAAAGATGATGAGGTTTACATTGATGAATGCTTCAATTAACTCATCCTGAAAGATGCTAAAGATGCACAAGTTGGGAAAAATGTGGCTGCTAACCGAACAAAAACCAACATACAAGACGCGTTTTATCCCAAGGCTCCCTGAAACATCCTGCTCCTCTACGGTTTCTGATGTTCTACTTTTATTTAATAATAAAACTTTCTGGATTAGACATGTTGGACTCAAAGTTGTTTATTTGTCATATGCAGGTTAACACAAGGTGAACAATGCAATGAAATGTTCAGGATGAGAAGAACCAAATTTACTTGCTATATATATATATATATATATATATATATATATATATATATACACACACACAAAATAAAGGACCAAAAAGTGAAAACGAAATGTAAAATTCACAAGGTCCAAGAGAAATACAGTAAACATGGTAGAATATAACGGTGCATGTAGGATGAATTTGTATAATTAAGTATTTCACAAGTAGTAATATAAGCTTAAATGCATATTAAGTGGACCACAAGCACACATTAAGAAAATGTCACAATTAATTTAGACTTATTTTTGATTATAATAATGTGTTTTCAATGGATCAGCTTTCCAGGACAAAGAGGTGTTTGTATGTTTTGGTGCTGATAAATCATAATGTGGTCACTAGACCAGATGTGGGACACGGTAAACTCTGACCAAAAAAAGAATATGTTCTAAATGTGGGCAGCTTGCAAGAAAGAGCAGCATGACAGCTCAGTGGTTAGCACCATTGCCTCACAGCAAGAAGGTCCTGGGTTCAATCCCCGGTTGGACCTGGGGTCTTTGTGTGGAGTTTGCATGTTCTTCTTGTGCTTGCGTGGGTTTTCTCCAGGTACTCCGGTTTCCTCTCACAGAAAAAAACATGCATGTTAGGCTGCCTTCAGGCCCAGGCCTCCCTTGCAAAAGAGATCTGTGATCTCAATGGGATTTGCCTGATTAAATAAAGGTTAATAAATAAATAAAGATGAAGAGACACACAGAGGGCTCTGAAGAGACAAATAGAAATTAAAAAACACTAAAACGTGCTTTAGGGAGACTTTATAAATATATGATTTGTGTATAGATCCGGCTTGTGTCTATTTTTTGTATGTATATGTATAAAGTTTCCTAGATGTCGAGATCAGAGTATCAGTTTTACTTAATGTTATAAATACATTACATAATCTACAGATGCTAAAATAGATCTTGATGTGCTGCACAGGGAATTTCTGATAATGTGTAACAGGACAACTGACAAAAACAGAAACTGACATCTAGGAAATCAGCTAGGTGCCTTCAGTTTACCTCCACAGTTATAGAATATCTGTCAATAATATTGATTATGAGATGTTTTATAATTTACACTAGTTGATTATAAATAGGGCAGCATGGTGGCGCAACTGGTAGAGCTGCTGCCTCTCAGTGAGCAGGTCCTTTGTTCAAACCCCGGTCCAGGGGCCTTTCTGGGTGGAGTTTGCATGTTCTCTCCGTGCATGCGTGGGTTTTCTCCGGGTACTCCGGTTTCCTCCCACAGACCAAAAACATGCATGTTAGGCTGATTGGTAACTCTAAATTGTCCCTAGGTGTGAGTGAGAGAGTGAATGGTTGTTTGTCTCGTTTGTCTCTATGTGGCCCTGTGATGGACTTGCGACCCGTCCAGGGTGTACCCCGCCCCTCGCACAGTGATTGCTGGACATGGGCACCAGCGACCCCCATGACCCAAAATGGAATAAGCGGGTAAAGATAATGGATGGATGATTATAAATAATGGAATTAATTTTTCATACCATCTGCTGTAGTCTAGTATATTGGATGGCTAATTTGGTGCATTAGAAGCAGTTTTTGTTTTCTAAGAAACACTTATTAACTTTATTTATCCAGACTACCCATAGTATGATACTGCTACCACCATGCTTTTCATTAAAATTACATTTCAACAGCCGTCAAACCACTTTCAAAAGACAGATGAATAACTGAAACCAGGCAGTAGTAGCTGAAGGATTCATCAATTCTCCTCTCTAATGACCAACTTTTAAAATCACTGTAATCGACTTTAAAACCTTTATGGTTCTAGAGATATCTCTGTGACAACAGTGCATTTGGGAAACACTAAATATATATAGAATACCTTTACCCTGATGCATACATAAATAATAACAACAACAATAATTTTCTATTTAGTGAAATATTTCCTGCAGCAAAAATCAAATAAATAAATAAAAAGATAATTCTACTTAAAACAGACAGGATTTTAAAATCACTACTGAAAAGCTCTCA